TAGAGAAGACAGGTTCCATCACTCAGACTATAGTGGAGAAGAAAGACCTGAGACTAGTCAGTGCCTAATGTGTTTGGCCAGCCCCAGGTAGAGGGAGGGCCAGGAGACAAGTTCCATCACTCAGACTATAGTGGAGAAGAAAGACCTGGGACTAGTCCATGCCTAATCTGTTTGGCCAGCCCCAGGTAGAGGGAGGGCCAGGAGACAGATTCCATCACTCAGACGATAGTGGAGAAGAAAGACCTAGGACTAGTCAGTGCCTAATCTGTGAGACAGGCTCCATCACTCAGACTATAGTGGAGAAGAAAGACCTAGGACTAGTCAGTGCCTAATCTGTGAGACAGGCTCCATCACTCAGACTATAGTGGAGAAGAAAGACCTAGGATTAGTCAGGTGCCTAATCTGTTTGGCCAGCCCCAGGTAGACTTAGGGTCAGGAGACATGTTCCATCACTCAGACTATAGTGGAGAAGAAAGACCTAGGACTAGTCAGGGCCTAATGTGTTTGACCAGCCCCAGGTTGGGAGGGGGGGTGGGAGACAGGTTCCATCACTCAGACTATAGTGGAGAAGAAAGACCTAGGACTAGTCAGTGCCTAATCTGTTTGGCCAGCCCCAGGTAGAGGGAGGGCCAGGAGACAGGTTCCATCACTCAGACTATAGTGGAGGAGAAAGACCTGGGACTAGTCAGTGCCTAATCTGTTTGGCCAGCCCCAGGTAGAGGTAGGGCCAGGAGACAGGTTCCATCACTCAGACTATAGTGGAGAAGAAAGACCTAGGACTAGTCAGGGCCTAATGTGTTTGACCAGCCCCAGGTAGAGGGAGGGTGAGGAGACAGGTTCCATCAATCAGACTATAGTGGAGAAGAAAGGCCTAGGATTAGTCAGGGCCTAATCTGTTTGGCCAGCCCCAGGTAGAGGGAGGGTGAGGAGACAGGTTCCATCACTCAGACTATAGTCATCGATGAACGCTATGATTTGAACGTCCATGACAGAGCTATTGAACACTAGCTATTAGTCTATCTGTAGCGTACAAGAGGTTCACCGCATTTATATTACGGGCCTCCTGAACTGTGCGCCGTGGCAAGTTTTGTTAAAATAACCTGTAAGTTGATTACCCTAACCGCACGTTCCAACTGCATGTGGAGGATCCTTAAGGAAACGTGACCGAAGGGGAAGAGAGCCGAGAAGTGGAGGGAATTAGGGAACAGTTGGGAACCAGCAAACTTGAGAACTACATATTCCTTTTAAGTTTCCAGTTACAAAATCTTGATAAAACCTTTGTTTGGTTTAGTCACTACAGGTTGTACCGAAAGAAGTGGTAGGCTTGAAAAGGTTAATTTCAATGTTATTGTTGTTATTAGTGGCTCTAAAAGCGATGGTGGTACTGTAATGGGGTTCCTGTGCGCATGCGAATCCCGCTTGCCACTCCAGTTGACACGATCTATTTCATGATGCTCTTTGAAGAGGATCACAGTAGGCCTTCTACAATACATTGTTTTCTAGTCAACTTGGTATCAGTTGTGATTTTTAACTTGCTTCTACTAACATTTAAATTCGACTTTTAACTAGCAAAGTCACGGTTTAAATTTTAAGTACGGTAATTTAGTTAAATAAATCTCAATAGCCACTATTTTGAAATTAAATAATATTTTTTTAGTTATTATTTTTCCTAAAAACGTATTAATGTTTCGAATCATACGCAGAATTTCATATGTATATCTTCAATAGTTTAACAGTTATAAATTTAAAATGCCGAAAAACTAAATAGCAAATATTTAGCTAACAAGGCTTTTTGGGAAACATGTATGATTCCTTTTTATTTCGACCCATAACCCCTATTCCTAATTGTTTGTATTTACGGGACATCAAGGATGAACGTAAACAGGGAAGTTTGTTCATCACATTAATTTTCATGAAGGATTTTATTGTATTTAAACATTATCTTGGAGTTAAAACGTCTGATACCGTCTACGCCTGCAGAAAGGAGAACGCAATATAGACGCTGTATCATGATTGCCAGGTACGCCTGCGTCACAAGATTTAGTAAATGGAGTATACTGTAGCGGTAATGACAAATACATAAGTCAGCATAAACAATTTAGTATGTGAATTTAATATAAAATTTTACTCTTACTAGGTAGCAAAAAACCCAATATTTGTACAAGCTCGTCATATAAAAAGAAATCGTATGATTAAAATTTCGATTAATGAGTTGAAACTAGGCTTATTTGCAGTTAACACTTTTTGTTTCATATCACAAAAGATAAAAAAGATAATTAAAAATAAAATGAAAATTTGGTTTAGTTTTTTTAGCGAATTTCCCATATAGGGAATAAGCTATTACCGTAGTACTCATGGTAAGACCTGGACCCGGGACCGATTTTATTATTTATTTTTGAGGTCCCTAGAGGCCAAAAACACCATCCGTTTAAATTCATATATATATTTATTAATAAATAATATGTAAAATAACATTTGTACCCTTTTTTATATTATTTTACTCACAAAACAAAATGTTTGTGTATTCAATGGCTTGTGACAGTATTAGATAAGTTTAAATTCCTTTTCTTTAAATACAAATTCGTAGGAATGGTTTATTTATTAAGTTCGAAATTTTGCACAAACTGTGCACTTAATACATTCTCCCCACACCAAAATTAGCATCCTGCATGAATTAGTATGTGTCATACTTCTAAAGTTTGTGTAATTAATATCATTTGGTCTTTTACTATTTAATCAGATATATCGTGTAGATTATTTGATATATTACATACACACAACAAACCAAAACTGAACTTCCGTTTTTCCAACCGATACATGGTGCAAAGGTCATTCGCTTTCAAGGACAGTCTTAAGATCCCTTTCCTCTTTTCCCCCTCCACTTCCAAACTTTTCTCGGCCATTCCCACCCCAGTCACGTATCGGGGGATGTTCTCCCTTTCTTTCACCGATCATCATCATTCTTGCGGATTTACGTCCCCAATAACCCGACAATCACCTCTTGTAGGATTTTCACTTTAAGGTCGATAAAATATGCAGATTACCTTAAGTGTTGTTTTAAAATTGAAAATTACATGACTGAAGTTTACTGATTACTTATTTCAAGTAGTCAAACGATCAGGCATATTTTAATCTAACGACAAAATGATTTATAATATATTTTGCACCAATTACCTAGTAACTCTAGCACGATACCATAATGAGAGAGATTTTCAGAAACAAAATATCAGAAACAGGAGAATAGTATACAGGACTTTTGGTGAGTTTGCTACCTCTGTAGACAGAGAATTACAGAATGACGGAATGTATGACTTCGTAATTTAGTTACGACTTCTGGCTTTGCAGTGACACTTGAGAAAAGAGGGTGATCTGAAATTACTAGGAAAATCACCATAGTGTCCCACGGTAAAATAAATTAAATTAAACACAAAAAGTTATAGCAAGTCTTGCACATGTTTAAAATTATTTATATTACTCATCCTACATTCATCTCCATTCATACTTGGCTTAAAATACCTACTTTGTATGGTCGCTATTTCAAAGAAAAGTATTAAAAGTATTAAAGTATTACTGTGCTATCTAGAAAGTAAACACACTATAAAAGTACATTATGTTTATAGCATCAGAGTGTTGGCAAAACGGGAGTGCCGATGGAGACCAGGTCAAGTCCCTTCAAACGCACGCACCCCCAGGTCTCCATCGGCACTCCCGTTTTACTAACACTATACATTCATAGCATGTAGTTAATAAGAATATTAGAAAACTGCTAAAAATTTACTGGGCATTTCGACAGGTATACGGAAAGGTATTCGACAAGCGAACAAAAGGGGGTGGTGAAGCTAAAGGGAACAGCCAGGGGGGATCGCTCGAACGTGACCAGCAAGTAGAGTCTCTGGGGATATTGTCTGGGAGTTTCCCCCCCTTTCCCCTCCTTTCCCCCCACATCACGTGACACCTGACTGATCTGTGTTATGCAGATTGTTGTACGTTTGTACCGTGATTTTTGCAGATCTGTTAGCTATGGTAATATTTCATGTTGTTTTCAAAATGTGAAACGTTGTTAACTTTAGGAAAATTAATTAAAATTGAAAATAATATGAAATTAAGGAAAAATTTTAATATTTTTACTCTCGTTTTACACTCAATACGACTATAATGATTCTAAAAGTAACACATTCTCTTTGTTAGGAACATAAAAAATATGAATTCAACGTTGACTACAACATTATTTACCCAAGCTATTAGATTCAATCTTACATTTAACCTTGTTATATATTTTTACAACCTAAAACATACCATCACAGGCATATCAACGTTTTAAATTGTATGTAATAAAAAAAACATGCATTATTACTATAAAAATAAAGAAAAGCTATTACTGTATGTATCACGGCCAAGAACCGGGACCAAAACACTGTTTCATTTTGATGTCCTCAGAGGCCAAAACACGAGTCGATCGGATTGTTAATACATGTATGTGTAGGTGAACACGAATGATTGAGTAGTTATGATCCCATTTTGATCAAATCTTTCATGAATGCGTACGACAGGATAAACTTGAATAATTTACAAACCAGCAAGATCGGGTCATAGGAACAGAGAGTAATGGGGTTTAAAAATTAAAATTAGCTTTTTTAAAATTTAATGCTTAAAACATATAAACGCATAAATTTACTTCATGATTTTATTGTATTTATATGGGTACATATAATTGTGGTTTAAGGTTTTACAGTGTAGGCCCACGTCCAGAATACCTAGAATAAAATACGTTTCATCAGTGAAGGTAAAACATCTGTTTTCAACTCATGAACGACGTGCTAAAATGGATTCGTAGAATTGTTCAAATCAAACAAGCACAACTCAAAACGATCACCACTCATATATCTACTACAAACTCCAACTGTAGCAAGTGTAGTTACATAGGTGTGCGCTAGGTGGGGTGGCGTCCACACCTGCGCCAGGCGAGAGCCGCGCGTCGCGACGCCCAGTCTGTGATCGTCCGGCGTCGTGTCGCGTACCTGTCGTGACGTCATCGCGTCGCTGGCGTCGTGTGGTCACGTGTTCGAGTAGTATCAATGTCATAGTGAACTGTCCATCTGGTATGTTTGAATAAGGAGTTTCAATAGATAAATTTATCAAAAAGAACATAAACATGGGAAATTGTAAAAATTAATTTTTTGTAGTCAAACTGACGGTGGGGAAATAAAATTAAACATGTTTTGCTTTATAAAATTTTAATTGCAATAGATTTTTTCTATCCATACATTTTTTAAAGTACACCGGTATAGATAAATTAGTGGATACAAATATATAAGTTTAGTTTAGTAGTGAATTTGTTTACTTATTTTATTGTAGTAAAACATACTGGTTTATAAGTTCAAATAATCAGGGGGAAAAGTAATTAAATGTTGGAATACGTCTTAAGGACACTATAGAAGAACATTTTCTATACTGTTTAAAATATTTAAGTTGTATGGATTAAAGGGTGTTTGCAATTGTCCATTAATTTAATTAAACTTATGTATTTATATTATTTACTGTCGTGTACCTATCCAAATATATTTGAACCGTGCAAAGGTTGTATACAATATATTTCACAAGACTAAAACATGATTATTTATTTGAGTAGGCGTTTTTACCATCGTTTGTTGAACACATAAGATATTCAAAGTATCACTGAACAAGTCATTATCTCTACTTTACCATCCTTATATCAATTATTTACAATGGGGACGCCACTATGTGCGTATTTTAACCCAATTATGAGTGAAGAATGAGTGTAGAACGATTGTTAAGGTATTGTAATTTAAATAGTTTTTAAGCTTTATTGTATTAAATTAATTTCTAAATACACCCTCAACAGTTTGAAGTAAAAACAGTTCCAATGATGACAGCGAGTGAATTATCCCGTTGGTGGTAAAAAGACTCAAAAATGACGTCATCAAAGACTAAAGTTCGGATACAAGCCGGATGATGACGTCAGTTTCCGGAAGTGATCACGATAATCGGATGTGGATCATACATACCGGATGTGGTTACCTTTACCGTATGTGGATGATTCTGGTGCTTATTCTCCTACTGGATTCGGTAAAAGGTCAGTATTCTTTTTGATACTTCTATTGAAAAAAAGATTCTAAATAAGGCTAATTTACTATTTGATAAGTTATGGATGAACTTATTAAATAATAAATTAGTTTGACAATTGACTTGACTGGTAAAAGGTTATACAAGTAAAACAAATATCCAAGCCAAATTAACCAACAGAATGATGCAATGGAGATTTAAAACGCAGATTAGTTAATGATAAATAATAACATGTTTTCTCTTAAGTTTTCGATGTCTACTGTATATTTGTGTATTATTAGAAAAAGTCTCAAACTGGCATAAATGTTAAAGGAACACACATAGTTTGAATTACATGTAAGTAAATTTAAAATGGTCATATAAGAAAACAATCACCAAAATACCAACGAGTTCAAAACATCGTTTTATACAAACACAATACATACAATAAACACTGAGACGATGTTACTTAAAACTAATTAAGTTCCCTGATTATTATATTGGCTTTTCTTAAATGATAACAAACCCATTCTGTTATAAGGTAATTCAATACCTTGAATATTTAGTGAGTCGGTGGCTTAGTCGGTAGCGTCGCGGACTTCGGGCCCAAGGCAGCGATGTCAAGGGTTCGGATCCTGGTCACTGCCGATAACATTTTATCAGTACAGTTCACCTTTGTACTGTACTGGCTCATTCCTTGCTTTGCTGTTAACGATCCACGCACGGGCGCTTAGTCTATGTGGACGGGCAAATGCAAGGTTAAAAGAGGCCGCCAACCTCTTCTTTAAAAAAAAAAAAAAAAATAAAAAAAATAATGAAAGTCATGTTTATTATCTTTGGTACTTGTTCTTTTTAACTACTATTACAATATGTTTAATTCGTCTATGGAAGGGAGATTAAAACACGTATTAACAGAGTATTGTACTTAATTAACCGTACTTGGTTTTAATTAAAAGTAACATTAAGTAAATATATTTTGGATATATTCTAAAGAATTGCTAGAACACTCTTACTTGTAAAGGAAAATTCAGTTTCAATATTTAAAATAAACTAACGAAAATTGATGTTTAAAATCATTAAAACGTGTTTACCGAAGATAATTTCAGTGCAAATGTTAATTATTTTGTGCATTAACAATACTAGCTATTACCCTGGGACTTCAACCCGTTTGACTTCATAAGTATGAATACAACTATTGATCAGGTAAGTTAAGCTGAAATAAACGATGCAAACAGAATACAGTAACACAATCAAATAATCACAACTGATTTTATTAAAGTAGTAATTTGAAAGAATAACAAACAAATACCGCTGAGGTATTTTAACATTAGGTATGTGGAAAGTTCCCTTTAGAAAAGAATAATGAAATAATGGATAGTTTTGCGCAAGGTTTCTCATCACGACGAACATAGTATATGGTTTATGGGGGTATGACTTGTAGTTTTCTCAAAAGTTCATGGGTACTTTGTACTTTATATATGGATTATCATACAATTCATATTTTAATTGTTCGCAATAAAAAGAACTAAGTTATGTTGAAGGCAGCTCTCCGTTGAATACATACATTTAAAATGCATTTAAATCGAAAGACTTTTGAATAAATTAATAACTATATTTTGTGTACATAATAAAAACAACGCCCAAAGACATCTTTACATACATTGCAGTACCTATAATGAAAAACAATTAAAAAGGTTACCCTAAACATTGTCCTACACATATCTCACTGCTGCAAACGCTTCTGGCCAGCGAGTGATAGAGAGTTTCAATTATGAGCTAAATGGCAAGTATTTACAGAACTCCCAAACAAGTGGTACAAAAAGCCCTGGTGGTGGACATCTCTCATTAATTTCTCCATTGTTTGGTTCCAACAATAAATTGTTAACACACGCACACACATACACATGCACACACACACACAACGATGGTGGTCTTTAGTCTAAAGCTTCGGCGTTTGATCTGCAGTAAATGAGGTGGGACTGAACACTGTTGAAAATGTCCGAAAATAGTAACTTGTAATAATTCTGCAGAGATATTTCAGCCTTGTAATGAATGTCTGATAATGCAAGCCCGATGATACAAGGCCTTATTAGGCAAAACTTGAATTCTGCAAAAAAAATGTTGTTCTTTCAATGATTATGGTGGTGATTTTTCATTACTGAAAGCAAATCGGTTAAAAGCTTATCTTAATCGCTGATCTGATCTGTATTTAGACGAAAAGAAACATAGAAAATAACAAAATTACGAAACAACATGTCTTCTACGATTACAGTACAAAAAAAATAAAAATAAAAAACTGCTACTGTAAAAAAAATGCAAAACCAAGGGTTTGGGCTACCCACTAGAAAGCGTTATCTGCATTTTGCTAATTTAATTTCAAAATTTACTTTTTCATTCCAAATTGTTGTGTTTTAAGCAATGTAAATAGATTATAATATATATATATTTTTTTTCTATATAGGTTTGGATTATAATTGAGGTAGAAGAAGTGATTCGAACAGTTGCATACATGTTGCATTCATCCCAAAATATTCGGAAGGGAGGATTCATATCTCACAGACTCGAAACGAAAGTTGTGAATGATACTGAAATTGAACTTTCCACGCCCGGAATGCTCGCCATTTTGGACATATTGGACATTAAAACTCACAGAATCTACATCGTATGCACCGACGATGTTATTGCGTCAAAATGTAGCAAATTACTACATATGAACGACGAACAGCGTACGAACGACCGAGGGGACAGTTTTAATAAACGTTTACTGCAAAGGGAAATGTGGATTGGAATTTTTGGAGCGATTTTGCAGTTTTTAATATAAAATGCACTTTATTCCGCCCAAAACAGTATTTCCAATAAAAATATCGATTATAAGGAGGGTTGGGGTTATGTTTTCGTTACTTTCATATTATTTCGTCTTCACAATTTGTGTCTTAAAATCAACATTGAAGAACTAGCTTATGAGGAACTGTACACACACTTGATTTACCTACAGATTCGTAGGAAATTAGTTTAAATTTCTTTAAACTAAGAAAAGAACTATGAATATTTATGTTTTTAAATTGTGACATTTTCATCAAATGAATGACTATAAGTAACGAAATTATACTATATGCAATGCACGATTTACTTAAGCCGTTAAAGCTTGCATGTATATTTGAATATTTAAATTCGATCTGGCTCGAAGGACCATAAAAATTGTTAACAAGTAAGACTACGAATAACTTAAATTAATTTTCTATTTATTTGGTGGTTATTCTTTTACTGTCACTTATAATTTCAAAACACCTCATTCCATATAAATTGATTTTGTGTCCCTTCACAGTTGTATGTGACAAAAATGTAGTAATTTCACAAAATTCATAAACAGTATTTTAATAATAATATTCTTGATTGATTATGCAACCACTAAATACAAAGCTATATACTTAATGGGGATGGTGTAGAATCACCAGCTACTTTAGAATTAGGGAAAAGTATGGGTAGGGTATTTAACAATTACTTTGGCAGCCTTTCTAAAAAATTTTTATTTCACTGCGACTTTTATAAATTTTATTTCCTTAACCGTGCTTAGTAAATGTGTAGCACAGTGTGATTTATGAATCATCCTATCGTGACCCTTGCTATAGTTAACGCCCTCTTTTATTCATCCCCTCTAGCATCTGTTGAGGTGAAACCTCCCCTCTATTAACACCTTGGTAGGATTAAAACACGTGTTAATGTGTGACTAAAAGGTAGTCAAAAGATATTACACCGAAGGGTAGGAGAGACTGTTACAAAGTGATTGATTAGTGTTTCTTTTCCGATGTGTTTTAAGGTGACGGCTGTATTATTTATGATTTGATTACGTGTAATTTAAGCTATTTATATTTAATAAGGTGTCGGTTATCAATCTTGTTTATCACAGCAAAAAATCACACAGACATTATAACGAACAGAAGTGTACATTTTGCATTGATACATAAACAGTTTATCCAAAAAAGTCTACTTTTACTTAAACGAATAAAATATTTTCTCGAAAATATACACCATGTGATACCATTTTGTTGCAAAAAAAAAACTCGGATAAAATTAACGTTAACACATGAATTGGACAGGTTCACCTTTAAACATAAAATAATTGACTTAATAAATTGAGGTACAGTAATTTTTCCAAATTATTCTGTAGCCAAACAGACTGAAATGCTTTAGGAAGTTTGTATTGTTGGTATTGATTCATGAAAAACTGTTATTGTAAAAAAAGTTCCCAGTTTTTAAATTGTTCACATGACAGTTGTTATTTTTTCATATCAACCTTACACAACACTTGTGGTAAACAATTATAACAGTTAGGATCACAATTAAAGAATTACTTCACAAATAATATCCTATTAGAAATTCCAGATTTATTTCTGGTAAAACAATGCATAGTTTTAAAACCAGGAAAACTATACCAACATTAATACTATGTTTTAAACCCTTTTATGTTGGAAACCCCGTAATAATTCCAGTGGTATCTGCCATGTGTAAGTTCCAAGCACACAAAAGGTGGGCAAGCAATGCAATAGAAAATAGAGAACAAATGGAGGCCCACTGTCCAGGGCCTTGGATTCGTGATTATTGTGTATACACGCACGTGTGTGTGTGTGTGTGTGTGTTGGTGGGAGGGGGGGGGTGGAAGTCAATCAACTAACCTGATCATCCCTCACGCCCCGGGCGCTTCTTACAACCCTAACATCGGTCACGCTTCACGAGAAACCGTCCAAACTTAAGACTACTCTGGTTTGAAATACATGGTTTTTGTTCTATGCCAATCTGTTTGACCTGGAAGTACAAAAATACGTCAATTAACACTTGTGAGTAATATTTACACTAATACTGTTTTACTCACAAGACGGTAAATACATATAAATGATAAGTGGTGATCGATGTCGATTGGATACTCCATCATCAGAACCAATAGGCAGACGACTAATCTGTTTAAATTGCACAGTGTCTAATTTAATACTTTCTCTATAATTGTGTTATGTACGGATCTTTGGGTTTAGCCTT